TAAATAATGCGCGTTTCTTGGAGAAGAAAGGAATGAGCTGCGTTCAATCCGTTTCACGCATAACGCGCATGATTAATTTTTTTAACCTTAATATTTTAACAACAAGGATACCATGCGATACATCATATACATCATGCGTGAAACGGAACGCTTCTTCGTTAATTGAGTTCCTCGTCGTTTCCTCTCTCCTCATTCGGGCGATTCTCCCGTCCAGCGAGGTGTTCCAATGTATAAGATAATAAAAAAAAAAATAAAAAAATAAATAAATAACGCGCGTGAAATAATTCGGAGCTTCCTGGAGATCTCGGTCTCTTGTTTTCCCTAACGTGCCAACTCAGCATCAGGCGCAAACCCGCGCCGACGGCAGAACGCTACGCCGCGCCGCTGCATCGTCACAATATTATATCAAATATTTATAATCATATTATTTAAATATCATTTCATGTGCTTCTGCCAATGTAGGAGTAATTGAAACAGCGTTGTGTGGATATAATTCGAAATTTAACCCGATACATCTTTTGTATAATATATATTTCATACATTTCAAATATTTAATACTGTTACTTTCAATTCTGTATAAATTTAATATTGTCCGTCCAATCATTTTACTAGTCATTATTTTTTTATAAATATCTGATATCTGATCTGATTTTTGTGATACATTTCTTGATAATTTATTAACAGGTTTATGCCTTCAAAATAATCGATAATTTTAAAACAAGTTTTGCATTTGGTTTCTATTTTTAGATCATTATCTATGTTATTTATTATAAAATATGTAAATGTAAGTATTATTCTCGCTTCAAATGATGCGTTAATTCGGTTATATAGTATCGTCTGTCAGTAAATATATATTCTAAAAAAGCGTATGTTAATAAATTCGATAATAAAAGAATCTGTTCATAAGCCATACATTGTATGGAGAGTTTTGCTGGAGAATACGGGCATTATTACAAATTTTCAATATTTTGTCTCCCAAGCAATGCACTCACAATCAAATATTTTTGTTGTATTTGCATATATCCCTATATATCACAGATAATTGTTCTATACGAATTGAAACTCCTTTTATTTGAATGGCAACTTTTATTTCCATACACGTGCTTGTTGATCAGGCTCTGCTAACTCTTTCGGCTGTTGCAAAAGTTTAAGTTTTTCCCCTTTATTACGACTATACTATTAATTAATATATTAATTTCCATGAGAATAATCGGTTTTCTAATGAAATTATTTATGAGTTTAGACGAAAGCATATCTTCTATTATCTGAAATCAATTGCATATGATGCATTATGCTTGTCTAATGCTAATTATTTGTTAACATTAATATTGCTATTAATATTATTTGCTATTAATATAATTGCTATTAATATTCTTTGCTACATTAATTGTGTTCGAGTATGCGATATCCAATATGCGAAATAATTATATTTTATCATGGATGTAACGCTACACCCTAAATATTTAATCTATAAAGATATTAATTGATTTTATATCATATAAGTAATGTGCTAAAGATGTGTGAATAACGTACAAACTGTACGTCAATGTTACAGTCCTTAAATAAAAATATATTTACATATTAAAATTTTTATAAAAGAGATTTATATCGGCATTAATTAACCCAGTTTAAAGAATACATACATAATTTTTCTCGCGTAGGGATCTAGTCGGTAGTCCCAACACATCTTCAATTAATAGAAATATGTAATTATAACAATGTGATTGACAGCCTGTTCACGATCAATAAGAAACGGATTACACGACAAGTATGAACGATTGCGCGAATATAATGATAAATATTATACGAACTTTAACAAAACGGTTATGATGCTTCTCAAGCCAGTTTGTAGTATAGGACATATACCATTTGTGAACGATCGCTAGATCGAGAAATCGGACTTTGTCCAAACGATCGAAACTGTTCCTGAATCGGAATCAGTGCGAGCCGCAGCGACGACTTCGAAGTCGTCGGAAAAATCCTGCGGTCGGCGCGCTGGGCAGGCTGACCGGTCGAACGTCCTTCGTGGTGGAGTTCTCGCTGCCGATGGCAAACGCCAGGGTCGGCTGGATTCGAAACCGTCCAAAATTAGCGATTAGTTCCGCGATTAATCCCGCGCGAGGAAGGTGTTTTACAGA